GGGGGGTGGGAGAGGTGTTTAATTTGTTTATTTTGCCAGTTCTTGTGATTTATTACATTCTTCACAGTATGAGTTGGATATGACTGTACTAATTATGGGTATACGCCATTGATGAAGGCTTTCTGCTGCAAAGTGTTTGGCATTCTGTTGTATTTCACTTGGCCTTGAAAGAAAGATAATTTACAGTGCAATCCTTAGACCCACTGAAAATCAATGGGCTTAGAAGGCCGACGCTCTGCTCAGGGTAGCACTCAGAGCTCTGATTCAATCCCCTCTCCCTGAGAACATCTACTTTTAAAGACAATTAAAGATGTCTAGTCAAGAATCTCCAATGTGCTTGCTAGTTGCCCTCTTAGAAGTGCTGCTTATTAGAAGACAGAAAATATACGAACACGTACTTTCCCCATATTTTCTTTATTCCTTTTGGACTTTTTTTATTTTCTGGAGATAGTGGAGACTGTGCACCTGATTCTGTTCCAGATGACAAGGGTGAAAGATCATCTGAAGTCATTGTACCGTCCATATTCTCAGAATCTCCTGTGATTTAAGAAGAAGAAGAAGAGATTGGATTTATACCCTGCCCTTCACTTGGAGTCTCAGAGCGGCTTACAAACTCCTTTCCCTTCCCATCCCCACAACAGACACCCTGTGAGGTAGGTGGGGCTGAGAGAACTCTGCCACAAACTGCTCTTTCAGGAACAGCTGTGCCAGAGCTTGTGACTGACCCAAGGTCACATCAGCAGGTGCAAGTGGAGGAGTGGGGAATCAAACCCGGTTCTCCCAGATTAGAGTCCGCACACTTAACCACTACACCAAACTGGCTCTCGTTAAAAAATGTGATTGAGATTATGTATGAAACTAAAGTACCAAACCCATACAAAAGGTGCCACTTCACAGTAAGTAAGCCCTGATGAAGCCTAAAGTAATCTGAGATTTAATCAAATTACACCATGCTGCAGAACATTCTCGAATTCAAGGCTCACGCATCCTCTCAAATTTATACACTGAGTTATCTCACAAATTCATATATTGGGTTTCCATTAACAGCTATGGAAAATCTCATCATAATGTACCCAAAACATACCACACTGGGAGAAGCCAGGTGGAGGAAAAGAAGATATCCCAAGCTCTGTAACCATACTGCGCAATGGTCAGATTGTTCTTGAAGAATTAAAAGAGGGAATTAGATAAGCATATGGAGCACAGCTCCATCGGTGGCTATTAGACACAAGGTATAGATAGGGACTCTGGGGAAAGTGATGCACTGTATCCTTGGTGCTTGGGGGGGGGGCAGTGGGAGGGCTTCTAGTGTCCTGGCCCCACTGCTGGACCTCCTGATGGCACCTGGTATTTTTGGCCACTGTGTGACACAGAGTGTTGGACTGGATGGGCCATTGGCCTGATCCAACATTGGCTTCTCTTATGTTCTTAAAAGGCAAATGCCTGAATATAATAAGTAGTTCAATGAGATCAGAGATGGGTTTTTAATTTTGCCCAACCATCACACACTTGCAGTTCCATTCTAAACAGGTCTACTCAGACTCCTACTCAGGCCTATTCAAGGGGATGTATACCTGGGACAGTGGTTATAGAAGGTCCAGGATTCCCTACAGATTAATTGAGAGAGCAACATCGAGTCTGTCTAAATTTCACTGCACTAAGAGCAAAGTACCTTTGCCTTCAAGGGTCACAAATTAAATTTAGGCAACATATTTGCAGTTAGCATGTTCAACTCAGAATTTAAAACACACACACACACACACAAACCCCAAATTTCTAGTTCATGTAGACACTTTGCACTGACTGGGTATACGGTACCTAATACTGGTGCACTGACACTCCTGATGCGATCTTCAATCATTCCAAGAAGCAGAAAGCCATATGAAGAAGCAAAGGCGATGGGAAATTCAAGCAAAACAAAGTTATAGAGAAAGCAAAGAAAATGAACAGCCAAAGGCAGGAAATAAAAAATTGACAGGAAGCAAAGTAAGTGAAAGTGAGGACTCGGGTCAGGGTGTTAACTGGAGATCAAAACCATTTCAGTTGGAACGGTACATTTCTAAAGGACTTTCCATGCCTTATTATTGTGCAAATGTAATTCAATTTCTGTTCAACACATCCCAAGCACACACCTACACTAGACAGAAAACCAAAACAAAACAAAGACTCTCCTGTTTCTCAGTAGAATGCAAAACAGTCTTCCCAGGAAAAAGCAGCTGTTCTTCAAGTGCCTGGTCAGTTTCACCGCTCAAGCAGCCTTCTTATTTATAATGAGAGGTCAGAGAACCTCTCTTTTCTCAGGAAAGTCCATGGCATTTGGAAAGTATTCTTTCTTAAAAGCTGGACCATCCTCTTTCCCCACCTGCCATGCCTCAGTCTCAATCCAAATCAGAGGTCCATGTGCTTGGAAAACAAGCCCCCTCCCCTGACTCGTGGGCACTCAATGAAACTTGTGGTAAAAGGTAAAGGTTCCCTTGCTCGAAAGCCAGTCGAGTCCGACTCGAGGGTTGCGGTGCTCATCTCCGTTTCAAAGCCGAAGAGCCAGCGCTGTCCGAAGACGTTTCCGTGGTCATGTGGCCGGCATGACTAAACGCCAAGGCGCACGGAACGCTGTTACCTTCCCACCGAAGTGGTACCTATTTATCTATTTGTAATTTCTTGCTTTCGAACTGCTAGGTTGGCAGGAGCTGGAACTAGAGATGGGAGCTCACTCCATCATGTGGCACACTCGGGTCTCAAACTGCTGAACTACTGACCTTCCACAGCCTGCAGTTCAGCGTCTTAACCACTTGAGCCACCGCAGCTCCTTGAAAGTTGTGGGCACTCAATGAAATTGCTGAGCGGGCGGGTTAGAACGGATAAAAGGAAGTACTTCTTCACCCAAAGAGTGATTAACACTTGGAATTCACTGCCACAGGAAGTGGTGGCGGCTACAAACATGGATGGCTTCAAAAGGGAACTAGATAAGCATATGGAGCAGAGGTCCATCAGTGGCTATTAGCCACAAGGTATAGATAGGGGCTCTGGGGCAAGTGATGCTCTGTCTTCTTGGTGCTTGGGGGGGGGGGGTCAACAGTGGGAGGGCTTCTAATGTCCTGGCCCCACTGGTGGACCTCCTGATGGCACCTGTTATTTCTGGCCACTGTGTGACACAGAGTGTTGGACTGGATGGGCCTTTGGCCTGATCCAACATTGGCGTCTCTTATGTTCTTATGACTGTCAAAGTCATGTTGTAGGATGGGAACCCAGTCACCACACTGTATCTTCTCTTCTTCTCTCTCTCTGCCTCCTCATGAGGTGGCAACACAGCCTGGAACTGGTTAAAGATCGATTCATGAATGCCACCTGGGGATTGTTTTTAAGAATGTAATGATGTATTTATTATATTTTTAATAATGTTTATGATGTATTTCATTTTATTGTTGCTCATTGTCCAGAGCCCTGTGTACTAAGGGATAAAAAGGTAAAGGTAAAGGTTTCCCTTGCTCGAAAGCCAGTCGAATCTGACTCTAGGGTTGCGGTGGTCATCTCCGTTTCAAAGCCGAAGAGCCAGCGCTGTCCAAAGACATTTCCATGGTCATGTGGCCGGCATGACTAGACACCAAGGCGCACGGAACACTGTTACCTGCCCACTGAAGTGGTACCTATTTATCTACTTGCAATTTCTTGCTTTCCAACTGCTAGGTTGGCAGGAGCTGGAACTAGAGACGGGAGCTCATTCCGTCATGAGGCACACCCGGGTCTCGAACTGCTGAACTACTGAACTACTGCAAAGCAGATCATAACCGGTGGGCTGGACAATAAGGGAGGAGGAGGTGGTCCTTTAAGTAATGCACAAGGTAAAGGTTCCCTTGCTCGAAAGCCAGTCGAATCCGAATCTAGGGATGCGGTGCTCATCTCCGTTTCCAAGCCGAAGAGCCAGCGCTGTCCAAAGACATTTCCATGGTCATGTGGCCGGCATGACTAGACACCAAGGCGCACGGAACGCTGTTACCTTCCCACCGAAGTGGTACCTATTTATCTACTTGCAATTTCTTGCTTTCGAACGGCGTACTTTGGGCCAAAAACTCCATGTTTGCAGAAATCTATGCCCTATAGTAGTAATGGCTCACTGTATACACAGAGAATCAGCTGCCATGTCTGAGGAATTAAGAAACCCAGCTTCCCGCTTTCTAGTTCTCACTGACATAGCTACTAAGTAAGACTCCCTTTTACTTCTCCACGGGCACATCATAGCCTATACTATAAAAATAACTGCAGGCTGAGTGTCATACAATGACAAGGCATGTTATTTACACATGGCGACTTCATTCTTCTCCCTGAAATACATACTGAGGCTCTGTATGCTGTTGTCCTCGTTGCCATTCATGCGGCATGCCTCTGGGGAAGCAGGCGTACTGTCACCGTTGTGTGCAGGGCGAAGAAGCTTCCCGGGCAAAGTCTGGTACTTGCTGCTTTTCACATGTGATTTGTTCTCCTTTCAAACAACAACAAATCTTAACATTACATTTAAAGCCTGCTGCATTCATTTCAAATAGAACGCTTTCCCATGTATGAACTTGATACTCTGTGGTGGTGCTGAGCTTTGGGGGATAAGCTTCCCATCCTTTCCCCTCCACTTTACATATTAAGATTCCCAAGGAGATGGACAACTTTTCAAATTCAAATCAAGCCTTTCTGGCTGTTTGGGAAACTGGGAAGAGGACGAGGAGGAAGCACGCAAGTCCAAGGTGACCCCCCCCCAGGCTAATTTAAGGAACACCTTGTACCAGAGTTTGTGATTATATCTGCTTACTAGAGATGTGAAGGCCCGGAAAAAAAACAGAAAAATTGGGGAAAGAACCCGTTTTTTCATGAAGCCTTTTAATTTTTTTCTGAAACATTGGAAAAATTGAAAAAAGAAAAAAAATGATTATGGAACATTTTATTTTAACATGATGAATAAAATATTTTAAGACAAGGTGTTCAAATATTTTCCAAATCATTTCTAAAAAATATGTATGGTGTCAGATTGATCTAATTTCTGTGCACAGAGGACAGGCAAGTCCTAGGTTACAAACTGAACTCTCCAATGCAAGAACAAGATGCATTTCTTCCTTTAGGAGGTGCTGTTGTCACAAGAAAAGAAAAAGGTTTCAGTTTTGTTTTTGCATGTGGGTGGGTATTCTGTTTGTAATAATTGTTTGGATACACTATATCTTTAATATGCTAGTTGTGATAATTTTATGCCAAGTAAAAATGTCCATAGTCATATTTTATGTTCCTAAAGTGACAGAATGACTTTCGATATAGAAAAAACAAAATAAATGCCGATGTAGCATTTTTTTCAATTTTCCCGAAAATTTCCGTTTCCCCCCGAAAAAAAATGATTTTTTCCCCGAGCTTCAAAATTTCCAGAAATTTTACATCTCTACTGCTTACACCTACTTTTGAGTCATTGATAAGATTTTGAATGAAACAAGAATCTGTTGCATCTGGAATTATACACGTGGCTAGGTTGGCCCTTGCTCTGGTTACCTGGAGCAGTGTATACCAGTGCACCTGCTCTCTACGTGTGTCACGCGGTGCTCCATGTACTTGGGAGACAGAGGGGAAATGAATGATTCTGCCATGTTAACTGGTGGCTAGGCCATATGATATTTAGCTAAACATAAGCACGCTAAATATCAACTTCCCCTTCTTTGCTAATCTTGGGAAGCTTTCTTTAAAGTATCAAGATAAACGTCTTACGGAAAAGCCACAAGTGAAATCTTAACTAATTTGCCCAGCACACTGCTTTATCGATTTTCAGAAAGAGAGGCACTCCAGGGAAACATAAAAATAACCACACTTATTAAATAATAATGATTTCAGTTAAACGGAGTTAAACAGTTAATATACCTCTTGTTCTACATCACGTTCTACTGGCTTCTCCTCTACATGCTATGCAGTTGTGGGAAGGGTAATTACAAAAGGGGAGGGAAAGAAAATAACAAACAAATGTTAGTGCAAACAAAAGTAACATTTTAGTCATATTTCTAGTGAACCTCTGTGAGGACACTAAAAGGTTTATTTTCTCCTCAACATACAGCATCATGCCAACACTAATTATTGATGTGTACACCACATCTTCTACAAATACAGGCCAAATCCAGCCTCTACGGAAGTCTATGTAATTGGTGTCTTCTACTGGATCCAAACGAGTACACTGTAATTCAGGGATATAAATCAGATGTTTAACGACTCACTGAAATAATTACAAAGCCACAAGAATCAAACTGAACAACACTAAGTTATTCATGTTAGCCAACATGTTCATACTCAAGGCGTGTCCCATCTGCTGGACATGGATGTGCAAGAGTATAATGTGCTTAAGATCTGATATAGTCATCCCCACCCCTAACCCCAAATATGAGGGTTAAAGTACATGTGCTCTTTGGCCTATTTCTATTAGACTCCATGTATGTGCCATTTTGACGTTAGGACCAGCAAGTGGAGATGTTGCATTACTGCTGTCTCCCCATCATAAAATATACCCTCTTTTCAAAATGGAATCGGATAGGCTACTTTATTCAACAAACTATTGAAAATTCTGCAACACCACTGGGCTACAGAGAGAGTTACAACAGGAGAATAGCATTCACAGTTTTTACCTTCAAAGAAACTCTTTCCACATTGAGACCAACGCCAAATGGGGCATGATCTCGTTGAACGGATCTTTATCTTTCCTCTCCTAATTCAAGTATAACTGAGTTGTCGGCACAGAACCCTGAAAATGCCATGAAGGATCACATCCTAGGGTGCAGTCAGTTAATGTGCCGCACTGGCAAGGTCTACTAAACATAAATGACCTAAACCAACTCTATGCATTGCAGAGCAAGACTGGAAGTGATGGGCTAGTTGTGTTTCAAGGAACTTGTCTACCATTACCAACCTCCTCACTGAGGAGCGCCTGATAGCGTTCCATAATACACATGGGATTCAGACTGGGCACATTCAGTCACAATACTGATAGATAAGCACCTATGCACCATAGATTTTGACCAACGAGTGCCAAATATATTGTTTTGTCTAAAGTTACAAACTATTACAGACTCGAACGAAGTTTTTTGGTTCCTACCCTGGCCCCACTTGTTCCTCTAATGAATGTGCTTAAATTTAAGCTGTATTAACACTGCTGCTGAACTCAGTTGTTGCCTTATATACAGCAATGCTCAGCTTTATATCATTCTCAATGGTCAGCTCAAAGTGCATGGTTTGCTACTAAGCTGCCACCAGTTTCCTCATCAGACAGAAACATACTCTAAATACCGCATAAGAGTATATAGAAAAGGGAGAAAATAAACCTAAACAAAATTAAATTAGTCCTTCATTAATTTGCCATATACAACATCAACAGTGCCTCAAAACATATTGCAAGCATAAAATCAAAAGCTGAGAGAAACATGCTGGAGAAACAGTGTAAGAAATTCTGGGATTAGGCATACAGCCTCTGGGGGTATCATCATACTGATCTATCACATTTCCAACTGAGTTTGCTACCAATGTAACATCAGAGACACACAAATGTTAATCAAGTTTCTGTTAGAAGAGTCTCTGTATAATGTCTGAATACATGTTATTTGATTAACTTCTGATGAAAATGCATTCAGGGCTCTTTTTGTAGCAGGTACTCATTTGCATATTAAGTGACACACCCGTAATGTAGCCAATCCTCAAGAGTTTACAGTAGCTCCTGTAAGAAGAGCTCTGTAAGCTCTTGGAGGATTGGCTACATTAGGGGTGTGTGGTCTAATATACAAAGGAGTTCCTGCTACAAAAAGAGCCCATTCAGCTTCTGCAGACTAATTCTGGATCTCAAAGCATGGGAATATATCAGTCTTCTATTTGCTGGGCACAGTACACACTGAAACGTACAACACACACAATTAGTATGCAAAAGCTAAGATGTTTCAAGCCAACCTTTTCCAAAGAGTCACTTTGCAAGTCTTCTAGACTACTTGATATTTTTTTCTGAAAGACCCTTGAAAAGATAAGAGGACGAATGATATAAAACACATGTGAAAGTTTAAGTCACAAAAATGATATTTAAACAGAGGTAGTGTGATATAAAGCTTGACCAGTGCAGTCTCTAGTTCTCTACCCGGCAGACTTAACCCAAGTAACTTCTGAATATATTTTCAGTGCCCATGACAGAAACAGAAAAAGAACAGTCACTTTTTTTTATTCCCAGGGATAGGGGAAGAAGGAGGTTCAGAAAAAGACAACGGAAATTATTTACAGGTGTCAACACAATCTTGCCGGGCTCATTCATTCATAAGGTTACAGGGGACAATTGATTTATTATTAGATTTATACCCCGCCCTCCCAGCCAATTTAGGAGTACAGGGAGCAGTTAGCAGTCAAGTTTCTATCCTTGAGGTGATAACTGGCCTTCCCTTAACCCTAGGACTCACACACTGTAAACCTGACCTCTAGCAAAGGCTATGAGCAATGATGGGGGAGCACTGATTGAGGGGAGAAGCTGTGGCAGGGTGAAGCTGAGAGCTGCACTGGGGCTGCTGCAGTTCGTGGCCAGAGTGGGGAGCTTTGGTGGCCTTTGGGATGACAGCGGGCCCAGCGGGCAATGGGTGGGAGGGGCGCAGGGCCCAGTGAGGGTTATGGCAATGGGTGGGAAGGCAGGCCCGGCAGCTCCGGAGTCAGGGAGGGGGGGAGAAGCTGTGGCAGTCCAAAGTCAGGAGCCATGCTGAGCTCGCTGGAGTTGTTGCTGATGGGGGAGACAGAGCCACAGCGCCCCAAGGATTGCAGCAACAATGGGGGGGGGGCGGGGTTATGTAAGATGGGTATCATGGGTCCCCATTTGCCTTTTACTAGCTCTCTCAGAAACTGGGGCTTTGAGACAGCTTCAGTCTCTTCCTCAAGGTAGCCTGCTTTATCACAAAAGACAGGTTAAGAGACTTCCAAAGGCTCCTGAGACAGGCTCTCTTCCAACTCCGGAGACATGGACTCTCTGTCTACACATTCACTGGTTTATCCTGCTTACATACAAGGCAAGCTCTAGGATCCCTCCAGTCTCTCTTTCTCTGAAGGTTCCACATCCTGTCTCATCTGAGCTGACAAGAATTAACAGCTTCTCTCTTATTCCTGCTCCCACCTGATTTCCAGGTATCCCAACTGGCTGCTAGCTGCTCTGCTCAAACACCAAACAAGGCTAAAAGGAACTGGTGTTTTCCAGAAAGGGGCAGGACCTCTGCCTATCTGTCACACCAACAAACTCACCTTTTTTTCAGGATTACCAACATAAAAATTGAAACTGACATTAAAAAAAAAACCAAGAAGTCACTTATAGCCCACAGTACTAAGGCCTGTTTTATATATGACACTTTGAATAAAACTTTGCTGGTCTTGACGGTGCCACTGGACTCAAACTTAGTTCTGATACCATCATGCTTAGCAGCACCTCTATGTGCGTTGGCCCATTAGTGTGAATCATGAGCAAAACAGTAACCAGCATCTTGTGCAGGGGTGTCAATGGGAGTGATTCATATTGTCTGTGTTGGCTAATTGGAATAACATTACTCAAGAGTGCACATGGCATTCTCTTACCTGTTTCGGAGTTCCAAGCTTTCCCCATTTGTAGAAAGTAGGGCATTTGAAGGAACTGGAGAGCTTCCTCTGTTGATCAGATTGGGAAGCACAAAAAGATTTTAAAGGGCAATTTTTTAGAAACCTATTTTCTTATATATTTTAGAAACATACATATCTTATATTATTTCACCCAATCTAACTATAAACTGTGGAGGAGAGAAGAATGATGTAAGCCGCCTGGGTCCCCTCTGGGGAGAAAGGCAGGATACAAAGCAAGTAAACAAACAAGCGGGTTTTGTAAAGGAAGCATTACAGTGTTTCACAAAACAGAAGGGCACAGCATGTCCTTGCCTGATTTCCAGTAATTTTTGAGGTGGAGGCAGCAACATCGGATGGGTCAATTCCCCTGGAGGTGCCTATGTAAAAGCATGCAAATGTGGGGCTTAATTATGAAAAGAAGAAGAATCTTTGTTGCAAATGTACATAAGGAACAACCAACCTACCTCAGGCTTATATAGTTCGATGGGGGTCTTACTCAGGGGGTTCCACTTTCTTAAAGTTGCCTCAAGATCATCTTCGCTGCAACCAGTCAAAGCTCTTTCTGACGTTCCTGGCAGAACAGGAAATCAGAACAACAACAATATACAAATATAAAGGATTTTCTTTTTCTTTTTTTTTAAAAAAGAATTACATTTAGATCATATTCGGCTCCATTTATAGAAGCTGCTATCAGTACTTGAAGTGTGGTAGGCTGCCATCCCGTGTCATTTCCGCTGGACCTAAAACCTTTCTGCTTTTTTTTTTTTTTTTTAAATGGGCAAAAACCATCCTAGGATGGAACAGGGTAATTTGGCTATTGTTTACCGCTGAACTTTTACAATCACTTAAAGAGCACCTGTCGCTTTAAAATCTGAGGAAGAATCTGACAGGTCCACGTCTGCCTCTCACTGTCTCATTCCCTGCCCCCCAGCCAAACACAAAGCCTGGCTTACTTGAGAGCTGGACTGCACATAACCTGATCCTTTTTATTCCCAAGAAATCCAGGGACCACACAGGCTCAATACAGTTTTAACTTTATGTTGTCAAAGGCTTTCGCGGCTGGAATTCACTAGTTGTTGTAGATTTTCCGGGCTGTATGGCCGTGGCCTTGGCATTGTAGAACCTGAAGTTTCGCCAGCAGCTGTGACTGGCATCCTCAGAGGTATAACACAGAAAGATGGAGTACTCTCTGTGTCAAGGTGAGAAGAAAAATGGTAGGCAGGTAATTTATACCTACTCAGGAAGGTGGGGTATGGCTGAGTCATTATCTTTTAGAGCCAGTTTGGTGTAGTGGTTAAGTGCGTGGACTCTAATCTGGGGGAACCGGGTTTGATTCCCCACTCCTCCACTTGCACCTGGCTGGATGACCTTGGGCAAGCCGTAGTTCTGATAAGAGCTGTTCTTGAAAAAGAGCAGTTTCTGTCAAGAGCTCTCTCAGCCCCACCTACCTCACAGGGTGTCTGTTGTGGGGAGGGTAAGGGAAAGGTGTTTGTAAGCCGCTCTGAGACACCTTTGGGTAGTGAAGGGCGGGGTTTATAAATCCAATCTCTTCTTCTCTTCTTCTTGTAGGAGTTTCCCAGTCTGTGACATGCTAATGGAGGAGCTTTCCTGAGGAGAAGTAGGGTTGCCAGTCCATATACCCTGCCTGTTGTTTCCCATTGCGGGAGTGGGAAAAAGGCTTCTGGGCTGAAAGTGTGACATCCCTTCTGGGGAAAAGCCAGAAGTGACATCACAACTCCTTAGGAATTGTCTGAAACTCTATGGTTTCTGGAGGTTCCTAGAGAGGCACGATATCACTTCCTGGGTTTCCCCAGCAGCAACATCACAGTCTCTCCATCAGCCACCCTCTGTTATGTTTTAACCTGGAAACAAAATGTCTGGGTTGTATTTTTAATAAGGTATTCTATTTCAAGCATGCAGCATCTTGCACCAAGCGGAATGTACATGATATATTATGAAAGGCGCTAACCATATATGTAAAAATGAACAATACCAACATTACTACTGGTAAAATAAGAACAATTCTTGGGAAGAGATTTCCCAAATTCTTATACAGAATTTTTGTGACAGAATTAATTATACTTAAAACATTATGCCGTTTGAAGAGGTTCTATAAAAGGCCTTCTGGGTGATATTCAACAGAGGAGCATGTGTAAAGTATTTTTTAAAACCTGAAAAATGGGTCAGCTGGACCTGCCAAGCTTCTTACAAAGTATTACAGTCTGATACTTCTGTTGATTCCGGTTTCCAAGTCAGAAACTAGATTATAAAATTGGGTGTGCATTGCAAAGACTAATCAGGAAAAGTTTAATTCTTTTCATATGCATGACTCCTCGCATCTAACACATTTCATTTTACTTCATCCAAAATGAAAGTTATTGCTTATCCTATTTTCTAGTATTTGATTCGTCATTCTGCATTGAGATAGTAATCCTAGGGGCATCCTCTGTCTCTTAATTAAAAAACAAAACCCCAAAGCACGTTCAAACCTTGTGAAAAATTAAGATTTAAGATATTATGACAGAGGTACTTTCATTTGCCTGTGTTTGTATTACTAGAAGGAATCCTAAAATACAAGATAACTGTAATGGAAAGCTATTAAAGCTTCTTTTTCTATAAAACTTGGCACTTGGGGGAGAAGCCGACGTGGCTGTCTCTATGTGATGTTCTCCTGTTCCATCTCAGATCCACAAATCAATCAGGAAATAATATAGGAAAGAAACAACAGTGGAAGATTTACTGCAGATTAAAGTTATCCAACTGATGACTGAAGCTTGCAGTCTACAATCTATCTCCAGTAACCGAAATCAAATAAAAATACTTACATTAATTAATCTATTAAATGTATGAGTATGGTAGGAAAAATTGACGAGGTTTGTTGTGCCACAGTTAACTGTATTTTATTATTCAAGATGAATGTGAGCCATAGATTAGGAAATCTTGTATTTTGGTACACACAATTTATTTTGAGAAGGGGAAGATTGATTACTGTTTCTGTAATGTCAATTTTTTTTCTCCTGGCAGCACAGTGTGTTAAACCTAAAAACTCTGATCAAGTCTAAAAGAGGTTCAGAAAAGAAAGCGATCTGGTCAACTTATTTTTCACATTGTGCTATGAAGACATAATTTTATACACATTAGCCAAAAGCTCTGTAGCTAATTAGGGTTGCTGTGGAAATCTATGGCAAGTCCTTATAAATACTACGTAACTGGAAAATATAACTACGTGGAATATAACATTGCCCAGTATCATCAGGTTCAAATATTATACTCAAAGAAATGCAGAACTGGTCACAGAACAGGAAAATCACATCCAGCTTTTTTATTTTTTTTGGTACAATCTGAAAAAAGATCAGTAATTTAGCTGGAATGTACCCTTTCCACTAGACTTGTTTAGACAAAATAGTAAAAAAAAGGTTACCACACTGGCAACACCCCATTTTTATTAAAATCTGTAACATAACAGGTGGGAACATAAGAAAAAATCCACAGGTGGAGGGATAGGAATGAGCTTCAGAAGCCAGTTCTACTTCATCCCAACCCCACGACCAGGGCTTCTTTTCTGGGGGAATGCACTGGAACAGAGTTTCGGAACTTCTTTGACAAAATTCTGTTTAAAATGTTTAAATGTTAATGAGTTTCCAGTATACCGATTGAAAACTTCATTTCCATCTTGAGACTTTCAGCGCCTCCCCCCAAAAGCCCTACCCGTGATCTGTGTTCCCTCTAAGCTGAGTTAGTGTGAGCTAGCTCACAGCTTTTTAGCCTCCGGCTCATGTATTTTTGTCTTAGCTCAGGAAGGACAGCTCCAGAGCAAACTGATTTATGCAGTAGCCAAGTCACTTGCTCACAACTTCAATGCCAGGAGCTCACCAAGTTGAATTTTTGCTCACAAGACTCCACAGCTTAGAGGAAGCATTGCCTGTGATCATGTAAATGGTAAAAGGGCCAACTCCCACTGCAGTTTAAAGGAAGCTTTGGGGAGTGGAGGGTCAAAAATCAATCTTCCCTCTAAGCTGTGGAGTCCTGTGAGCAAAAATTCTACTTTGTGAGCTACTGGCGTTAAAGTTGTGAGCGAGCAATTTGGCTACTGCATAAATCAGTTTGCTCTGCAGCCATCCTTCCTGAGCGAAAACAAAAAAAACAGTGAGCTGGAGGCTAAAAAACTGTGAGCTTGCTCCCACTAACACAGTTTAGAGGGAACACTGGTCAAAATGGGCTCAGATAAGTGAATGTCAGAGGGCTCTCTCTCTTTCTCTCTCTGGTGAAGAACCAAGCACTATTTATTAATGGAAGGCTTTACTACACAGGTCTATAGCCTCAGCCACCTCTACCAAGCCAGGAGAAAGGGAAGAAACAGTCCCATTCTCATCTTCTCTCTTGATAAAGTGATCCCCATCTCCCACCCCCAATCTTGCATCCTTAATTGGCAGGCTAGCCTCTTACAGACCTTAGAGACTGAAGCATTCCCAACGGCAAACACCTTGTCTTCTTTTCATTACACATTGTCTTATGGAAATGAATGCACTGGAATCGACTGCCCTGTCCTTGGACTTAGAACCAAGATCTCATATTTTCATTTCTTAAAAAAGTGTCATGTAACCCTGGGTAATCAAGACTACAGCTTGGACTCAGCAGAAAAGCTCCTGGAAGGAGCTGGCAGAGCAGATATTTTCCTGCTTTTCTCTTGCTACAGCACCAGGCTGCTTGGCTTGAACATCTTCTTTGAGGGTCAGGGACCCTTGTTTACAAAATGAACATAGTACAAGGGGCTACAGTGAGGAGATCCCTGATGAACATCTCTTCACCTCACTTGTCATGGCCCCTGAAAACTAGCTGAAGATAGTTGCTGTACTCGGCTTACCCGACGCCATCAAAGAAGGCCGAGGAAAAAATGCTGACCGGACCACGTCTCATCTCCGACTGAACGAAAACCCTTGTCGGCTGCAAATGTGTGTGATTTAAGATGTATATATGCTGTCCTCCCTTACTCCACAATCATTGTTAGTCCCTCGTAAAAATGAGTAACTGTAAATCGCTCAGAGCCAGCAAGCTCTGCAGGATTGTTGTTGTTGTTTAGTCGCACAGTCGAGTCCGACTCTTCGCGACCCCATGGACCAGATCACGCCAGGCCCTCCTGTCTTCCGCTGTCCTCTGAAGTTGGCTCAATTTCATGTTCGTTGCGTCGATGACACTGTCCAACCATCTCATCCTTTGCCGTCCCCGTCTTCTTTGACCTTCAATCTTTCCCAGCATCAGGGTCTTCTCCAGTGAGTGCTCCCTTCTCATTGGGTGGCCAAAGTATTTGAGCTTCATTTTCATTATCTGGCCTTCCAGGGAACAGTCAGGGTTGATTTCTTTTAGGATTGACTGATTTGATCTTCTTGCAGTCCAAGGGACTCTCAAGAGTCTTCTCCAGCACAATAGTTCAAAAGAATCTATTCTTCGGCCCTCGGCCTTCCTTATAGTCCAACTCTCGCAGCCATACATGACTACTGGGAATACCATTGCTCTGACCATGCGGACATGCAGGATTGAGCGATCAATAAATTGAAAGATTATTATTATTATTATTATTACCCTGACCGGAGGATGTTAGATTTGTCTTTAAAAGCATCACACAGCAAATAGGCATCACACCTCACATTAAGGAGCTGGCTGATAGCCCTCAGGCACAAGGGTCTCATCGAATGATCTCTGAACTTAACATGCCTGCAACCGATACTTAGCCTTTAGTGGGCTGCTTCCTTTCACGACCCACTTTTACTTGTTAAATAAAGCTATTCATTAAATAGTTCACACAATTTTTGTCATACTATCCACTAATTATACCTTGGACCGCTATCATTATCTCTTTCACCCGTCGGTACTGGCTTAGCAAAACGGTTAACTCTTCTATCCGGCGGTCCTAAAAAGAGAGAACAGAAATCAGACATCTTCTAAGAGGATCAAAAATTCAGTTATGAGATATAAAGAAGGCAACATAATAAGGTTTCTTCTCTCTTAGGCTCACTTTTGTATGGACAGTTCTTCAGTCAGAGGGAACACGAAACCTTAAGCTGGCTACTGTCTTCAGGCTTTAACTTGCCTACCCTCCAATACACATTACTAATTAATGCAATGGCTTAAGGATTTGCATAAGATTTAAAAAAATATATATATAAAGCCACACATTTGTTTTGCTGTTTCCCAAAAGCATCTTAGAATAAGTATTCAGAAAAACTGAGTATGTCTTCAGGATACTATTACGCAACTTCAATTTCACCACGGTAGTTACTAACATTTTACATTACAACTTTGAAAATGGATGGGAAAGACTCATAACAAAGTGATTGTTACTCATCATTTAAATGTAATGAGATGACAGTGCTATATGAAGTAAAACTGAAATTCCATACAGCACATACACCATCAATGGGTGTGCTCATTGGTGGAAGGATCATTAATAAGATTATCATTTGACTGTGGGGGAAACACTTCTGCAGTGGAAATCTTTGATCTGCCACTATAAATGTGTAACACAATGGCACATTTATTATGTAGAAACAATAAAGTGAAAAGGCCTAGGCAGTGGAAAGTGAGAAATAAATTTTAAAAACAAGTAAATGACAGTCAAAATACAAAACGGAGACTTTGCCATGTTAAAAATAGTTATAAAATCCTAAGTGGAGTATTACCCCTCTAAGCCCATGGACTTCAAATGGATTTAGAAGGGTGTAACTATGTTTAGGATGGCATTATAAGGCCCCTTATATCAGCTATTTAGTGCTGTTTCTTTTTCTTTGGTATATACAAGGATTCAAGAGCACCACTGAAGACAACTTGGAAACTTCAGTTAGCTCACAGCACAACACTAAGGTGTTGATTACAGTAACATATTTCGCCAGTGCTTATAGAGTTTCACTAGTTTCCTGTTGCTTTCCAGACTTAATGTGTGGTACTTTGACCTTTAAAACCTTGTCACCCAGGTACCTTAAGAATGACCAAATCCCAACATGCGCTTGCTGGTTTAACAAAGCTTGGGACCATTTCATTATGGGGAAAATTACAGACTGTATCCAACAGACAGAAATCTACCCGAGACTGACCAGTTTTATGGAGAAATGCTTCCCGTTACTGGACTATACTGCGACAAATGCCTGCCAGCCACACAACTCAACAGATCTCAAAATGATTTACTCTGAACATGAGCTCTGTCCACCCCAGCTTCCCTTATTACTTCTAGCTTGCACAACGTCTAGTCGTTGAGTTCATAACCTGATATTAAGAATCGTTACAACTGGATCATCAAAGCTTTTGTGTTAGTTGTAGATTTTCCGGGCTGAATGGCCATGGTCTTGGCATTGTAGTACCTACACCCTGTCATTAGGTTCAGCCTCCTTTTTTTATACTGAGTTTTCAAATGTGCTGTATTATCTGTAATTGTTGCTGTATTTGCTGAAACTATCTGCACTACTGTTTTATATTGTACCATTTAGGAACCTAATAAAATGTTGTTTTTTAAAGTAATTACCAAATCCAATATGAACCTCTCCAGAATTTACAATCAGATCAAAAGCTGTGCCTTGTTTCCCCTCTGTACTAGATTTAGGCTGATTCTGCATTGGCTTTTCCCTCCATTGTTTTACCAAACCCACATTGGAACAGAAAAGGTGCAGCTCAAAACCACATTCAAATACCCCAAGGTAGGCATCCCAAGTCCCCCCAGGGGGCGGGGAAACCCCCGCCCCAGAGGCCCGTTCCCTGCCGCCAGCGGATCGGGCCCTGGGGGGAACCCCACCCCGGCGTGTGCGTCACCAGGAAGTGACGTTATGATTCCGGGCACGCTGGGGGCGGGGCCACGGTCATCCGAGGGAAAACTCTATGGTTTTCCCTTGGATGGTCGTGGCCCCGCCCCCAGCGTGCCCGGCATCATAACGTCACTTCCTGGTGACGTGTGTGCGGCACACGCGCTCCAGCCGCAGACTGGGAGTCCCCCGGTAAGTAGATTTTTCAACTTGGCAACCCTACCCCGAGGCAGTGCCGTACTGACTGCAAAGTCACCCCTGAATGGCCATAAACCTATGCAGAAGATACCATGAAACCCAATGATCAGAGAAAGTGAAAGCAGCCTGCAGTGTAGAGGGTACCATAAATCCGATGATCAAAGAAAGTGACAGCAGCATGCAATGCAGGGGGGGATTTCTGTTCCAACCTGGGTTTGGTATAACAACAGAGGGAAAAGCCAATGCAAAATCGCCCTTAGTTGTAGTGCCTTGTTTATGGAACACTTTCCCTGGCCATTTGCTTGGCATGGAGGTTTTAAACAAAAATTCTGACAAATATTTTTAAATATGGCTTTACATTTGTTTTGTACTTTTATTGCTGCTGGACTATTTTGCTCTTTTGTGCTGGGGGTTTTATGCTGATCTGCTGTTTTATGGCACTTGTAGCTTATGATGATTTTAGCTTTTATTAGATTTGGGATTTTTTAATCATTTTAGCTTGAGGAATGTAAATTCTGAATGCCCTTGATAACCAGGACAGTTGTTAGAAGCCCCGGGACAATGGATAACGCAAATGGAAGTCTTGGAAAAATGACAGTAATGTAAGCCCTCCTGCAATATTCCCCAGCTACAGTAACCAGAGGACAAAAGGCCACTCGCTTACCTCCTCTATATCTGTTTTTAAAATGTCAATTTATCACTGTAGGAACTCAAGATACAGTGACTTGTAAGTGCATTCTAAAAGATTTACGTGATGCCTTCAGTCCCTCAAAGCTATCATATACACAAAGCCCTATGTGATTGCTTTTTGTTCTTTTTCCATTCCTTAGTAGAAAATATTCTTCAATGCTGTCCAGCCTTAGCATTTGCACCCAGTTACTAGAGGTCAGCTGTCTTTTAAAAAACACACTGGACACCACCTGCTGCTATGTGTCACTTCCGGCACCAGAACGTTGAGAGAGGTCAAGGCTGTCTTATGATTAGATTCTCACCATGACACTTCCTTCATAAAAAGAGGTGTGACAAGAAGATATGAGTCATGGGAAAGCTTTGGACACCAGGCATTATAGCTGAAGAAGACGAGCTACGCTCCTGCACTTGATGGACACATTATATAGTCACCATTTCTCCGGTGCTAGGCAAAGAGCAAAAAGTCTCACATGCTACCGCCTCCCTTTTTCTTTTTTTTAAAATCCTCTGGCCTGTAGCATGTGACTAAGAGAGCAATAACTGGATATTTCCAACTATATTCCACAAAAGTTTAGGAGATAGAATGGCATGTATCTAATGAGATCTGCTTGTGGGATGGATGCCACAGAATGGGAATTTCCTACTTTCCTTTCCCACTGGAAACCTGAGTCCCCTGAAATTTTGTTCCAGGAGGTTGGTGTATCGTGTTGGGAACAGCACAGGAAGCAAAGTGGGGAATCTACAGTAGGAGAAGAAAACTGGCAGACTTCCAAAGAGGGAAGGGCCCTTCTGCCTTCAGAACACAGTGAGGGGATACAAGGCAAAACAATTATAGCTAGGGTTGCCAAGTCCATCTTCCGCCCCCAGCGGGGGACTTTGGGGGCGTTCCTGGAGGGGGCGGGGCATCCCCGACGTGATGATGTCACGTTGGGGACGTCCGCTGCCCCCCCACCCGCCCGCGCGCCGGATCTCCAGAAACGGCAGTTTCCTGCACTTAAAGGAGCCGGTGTTTCCCCCTTAAGAGCAGCTGCGTTTCCCTTTTAAATGCACGAAGCTGGCATTTCCCTGCGAGCCTGATCTCAAGCGGAGATTGGGCTTGGGAGGAAACACGGGTTCCACACACTTCAAGGGAGAGAAAGAGGTGGCTGTGGGTGTTGGGGGTGGGGCTTCCCCTGCTGGCCATCTGGCCGGCGGCGGTAGAACCCCCCCCCAAAATGGGGGACCCCTGGCAAACTGGGGGGGGGGTTGGCAACCCTAATTATAGCAATATATAGCAATTTCACTTTAATTCTGTATATAATTTTAGGTAGAGAAGGTGGTATGGTTCAATGGTGGAGTATGTGCTTTGTAGGCAGGTGGTGTCAAATTCAATTCCTGGCATATATCCAGTTGAAATGCTCAGATAGTAGGTGATGTAAAAGACCTGTCGTTCAAACTCCAGAGAGCCACTGCAAGTCACACTAGAGAAAACTTGATATACCAATGGTTTGATTCAGAATGAGGCAGCTTCATTTGTATGTAGCCACTCATTCTCTTTAACTCTTTCAAAAAACCCTTACATTTTTAAACGAATGATAATCAAAATAAAGATTTTATACATTTCAGCAGTAATATTTCACAGTGTTACGTTTATGGGCTCATGAGGTGGTTCACAGACATAACTCTGCAATCCAATTAAAAAATTGAAATATAAAAGATTATGCATATAGACTGAGGAATGAAAGAGAGAGAGGCAAGAACCAGAATATACCTCCGCACCAAGGTGGCCTTTAGCAAGCTACTTTCGGCTTTAGATCTGCAACCATCTCCGTCTCCAACAGCACAGTAGGTGGCCTGGGATGAAGACACTAAATGGGCCACCCACAAGAAAGAAAAAGATTTCTGCATACCTTAGAGGAACCCCCAGGTATGCAGAATAATTTGGGAGTTCCAACTCACCCTCCCACAGAGGCAGAAGCAGGACTGCACTCGCATGGTGCCAGCACCCACAGAGGCCCATGCCCTGTGCGCAGTTGCCAGGGGCATGGAAAGAAGCAGTCTGTTTCTTTTCTCTGCAGCCCACTGCCATGTGTATGTGCCCCCACCCTGATTTCTACTCACCAAGTTCTTAAACGCTGTTTGGGGGAGGGGTGGGGAGCTTTTCAGATTAGGAGATTGTTTAGAAGGTATTACATTCAGAGCTCCTCCAGCCTTAATTGATCTTTCGCAACTGTTTACACTGCAAAGGCAGCGGCCCACTTAACGCCCGGCAGGATCTTAATGGGATCGTGGAGACGGATCTTGAGGGATGTGTGCCTCGTGGTGCCTACCCACTTGCCCCCGATTCCCATCTCACACTGAGTTATTTTAAGCTGCATGGAGAAGGCTTTGCAGTTTTAAAAGTTAATTTCCCTCAGTCCTAATTAACACCTTCCAAACATTTAAACCTGTGAAGGAGGAAATCAAGGTCAGAGGAACCTCGTCCCCCTCATTCCTCTCCCCATATAAAAGTTCATTAAAAAAAACAACAACACTAAAGGAATTGTAAGTGAAAAATAGAGCCGTTTTCCCCCTCTCCCCTGTGAGTCCTCTAACAGAGAAATGAATAGCTGATTATCATGGGCAATGATATGGGGCCACTCACAGACCATATAAGGATTTCTGCATACTTTGGGGGATCACTCATATAAGCAGAAGACACTCCCAACCAGGGCTTTTTTTGTAGAAAAAGCCCAGCAGGAACTCATTAGCATAATAGGCCACACCCAAGAGCAGAAACTCATTAGCATATTGGGCCACACCCCTGACAGCACAGCTCATTCGCATATTGTCTCAGCGCAGTTAAGCAAGGGGAGGAGATTGTTGGTTCTGAAACTGTTGGAATGGGCATAACATTTCCAAGTACTTTCCTGATCATTGCCTATACAGCCCTCCTAAACCCAATTCACACAATGACTCTATGCATCCAGGGCTTTTCTCAGCAACGTCCTTATAGGTCCTCATCTTTTGTTGATAGAAAAACTGTTTCTCCGCCATGAAAAAAGAAAACCAAGCAGAGTCTATTCTACTTGGGACTATCAATTAGTACATTTGCTCTAAATTTGATGCTTTTGACTGTAAGTTTATTGCCGAAACTAAGACCATGCATGGGTCTTCTGAGTCCTGCCATAATGAAATGTATAATTTATGAATAATTTGTTCAGAATCCTGTACGAATACAGCTTGGGAGCCTGGCTTAAGAAGGACTTGAGGCAGGAGCAAAAATATAGGAAGTCAAGAGAAGGGCTCGTGAGTTTCTTTAAGGGCTCCATAATAACAGCACTGTCAAGGCCAGGGCTATATAATCAGCTTCCTTCACACTTGGCTCCAAGCCTCCACCGTCAGTGATAACTGTACCATAGGACAACCCCCCTCCCCGAAAAGGTTGACAAAGTTTATTCAGATGCCTAGTATGTTTATCTATTTAAACTGTTCTTATGTTTTTTAAAGCTACTACATTCAGTATGCGATTTCAGTAATGAATTGCTCTGGGCACAGGGTAGGTGGGCTGTGGCTTTCTGATTCTTACAAGGGTTAGCTAACCAGCCCTCTGCACAGCCCGTCCCTTCTGGGAAACGGAGCCCCTGGCTGCTCTGAGGCTCGATACAGTTTGGAAGTCAGGCTAAAAAGCAGCAAATGTGGATTCCACAATGGACTTTTCCCACTCTGTCTTCAACCTGACATGTTCATATTATAAAAAATACAATAGAATTCCTTTTTTGAAGGTATGAAGGAAAAGGAAGAATTCCTTTGGAATCCAAGATGACTTTCAGTCACTGAATGAAACACCACCCCTTACTTTATGAGGAGAATCTTTAAATTTCTGTTTTCTCGTCCGTTTGGAACAATCCCATTATAGTAACTCAGCAAAGTCAAAACATTTTAAAAAGGCCAATTCATGTCCTGTCTACTAAATCTGTATTATAACCTGAGAGGGGCAAAAAACACCCAGGGTGAGAACAAAAGAGTCTGTGTGCCTCATTAAATTTTCACCTGTATTTAAAGTTTTATTTATAACTGAAAATGAACAAAATACACTCAGAAGTTCTGTATAGGAATACTTCTCGTTATCATTAAAAATTCAGTCTCTTTATTCGTTTTCTTACCTTTTTTTCATTTTCAGCTAATAATGATTCCATTCCCATTTTCAAACGTTGGACCTCTTGATCTAAACAAAATTTAAGAAGTTACAAGTTAAGAGCGTCCATGCTGGGTGTCTGCTAATTAAGCATACATAAGTACCTTGGTAGAATGCAATGGGGGCATTGCTTTTGCCATTCTTCCCACAATGAAAAGTCTAACTAGGATCAGTGCCAGATAGAGACTCCCCCCCCCCCCCCGGGGTTAAATCCTTCCATGTGGTGGAGGCCTCTATAAGGCAGTTTCTGTGCACTGATCATCATTTTAATTAGATGATTTCTTCACACTACTGCAGATGTCTCTTTGAATGTGTCAAAGCAACCTCCACTCAGTGACCATAATGTGTGCTCTGGCCTTAAGGCTTAAGTATGGCATGAACAACAGAAAGAGACATGACAAACAGTATTAAATAAGCCACACGGCATTTTATTGCCCTGATGTGAAAATTAAATTTTCCAAAAGTTTGAGTCATGTCCCTTGTTAAGAGAAGTAATTTGAATTATATTTAGCATCTTTAAAAAATCTAGCTACACAATCTATCACATTCTTGATCAGCCTCTGATCAAATTTAATTAAGTTTTTGTAAAACTAAAAACCTCAAATGCTTCCGAAGTACCAGTGTGATGTAAGAAAGTGATGTAAGAAATATGGACCGCTTACTCCCATATGAACCTAGCTGAACACGAAATCAGGGCTCTTTTTGTAGCAGGAACTCCTTTGCATATTAGGCGAGACACCCCTAATGTAGCCAATCCTCCAAGAGCTTACGGATATCTTCTTACAGGGGCGACTGTAAGCTCTTGGAGGATTGGCTACATTAGGGGTGTGTCGCCCAGAGGTAGATTCGGGGGGGATCGCGGGGGATCACAGTTCCCCTGGGTGAGGTGCGGGGGGCGGGGCACATGACGAAGCCCCACCCCCCACCTCCGGCTGCCCCACTTCCGGCCCCCATTCAGCCAGGAGGAGGCAGGAGAAGAGGGAGGGTAAGTTGCTTCCTCCCCGCCTCTCCCCACCCCTGCCTGCCTGGGGCCAGGGAGGGCCTTGGCGGGGCTTTCTCGCACTCCCGCCGGCCTTGCAGGTCCACCGCCAGGCCCCAGATGGATTTTGGGGGTGGAGCCTGAGTGGTGGGTTTAGATTCAGAGGAATTAGCTGTGTTAGTCTGTTGCTGCAAAATAGTCCAAGAGTTCAAAATAGCACCTTTAAGACTAACCTTTAAGATGAAGACTGAGTGGTGGGTGTGGCCTTATGACACACTTCCGGTGTGGAATGCCTCCCATTCATACGTTTAAATTGTTTTTACGTATTTATATGTAATGTTAATCTGGTTTTAGTTTTTTCATGATTTCTATTGTTGGCTGCCCTTAAGGACCCTTTGTTGGGTGGCAAGGCAGCTTAAAATGTCTTAAATAAACAAATACAATGTATCTCAGCCTAGCTTAACCTAACTCACAGGGTTAGGTAATGTGGTATAATGGCAGGAAGGCTGGACTAGGATCCGGGAGGCCCAGGTTTGGACCCCTGCTCTGAAATGGAAGCTGGCTGGGTGACCTTGGGAGAGCCCCACACACTCAGCCCAGCCTATCTCAAAGGATTACTGTAAGCATAAAATGGAGGACAGGAGAATGTTGAAAGCTGCTCTGGGCCCATTGGGTACAAAGGATAAAAATGAAATAAACAGTTATGAGCAGGGGGGGGGCGTTGTAGAAAAAGCCCAGCAGGAACTCATTAGCATAACAGGTCACACCCAACAGCAGAAACTCATTAGCATATTAGGCCACACCCCTGACAGCACAGCTCATTAGCATATTAGGCTACAACCCCATGTTGCCAGAAGTGAGGTCATCCAGCCACACCCACCTTTGGCTCCTTATTCTGTTTACCTTGTTTGTTGTCAAAACCCAGGGCCTTTTTTTGTTAGCAGGAACTCCTTTGCATGTTAGGCCACACACCTCGAATGTAGCCATTCCGAATGAGTTTCTGCTGTTGGGTGTGGCCTGTTATGCTAATGAGTTCCTGCTGGGTGCGGCCAACTCAGGAGCCAGCCGGAACTCCGTTCCTATACGTTCCTGCCCAAAAATAGCCCTGGTTATGAGTAAAAAAGAGGTGGAAAGGGGAAGAGGAAAAATGTACACCGTAAGATCCCTGAAGGAAGGTCTGAATAAAAAGCTGATTAAAAAAATCCAAATACTTTTTAAAGCAGTAACGAGGGTTACCAGGTTGGAAAAATACCTCGGGACTTTGGGCGTGGATCCAGGAGAGGGTGGTGTTTGGGGAGGGGAGGGGCCTCAGCATGGTGCAATGCCATAGAGTTCACCCCTTCCAAGCAGCCATTTTTCTCCAGGGGAGCTGATCTCTGTCTGCTGGAGAACAGTTGCAAAAGCGGGAGATCTCCAGGCCCCACTTGTAGGCTGGCGACCCTAGCAGTAACACCAACCTCATTTAAAAGTCTAATGAATGGGGCACATCTCATTTAAAATAAAATTCATGTCGTTGCCTTAAAGTAGAGAAAAGGCTTCAATTGAAGAAGCATACATATTTGGAAATATTAACAGGTATATGTATGCCTTCACTTCTCCTTCACTATCAGAGACATTGGCATATAGTGGTTAGCATATCGGTCTTGGATCTGGGAGCCCCAGGTTCAAATCCCCACTATGCCAAGGAAGCTTCCTAGGTGACTTTGGGGACTCACATAAAAGCGGCATCAATGAAGTAAAATAAATAAATAAATATTTGCCAATCACCAAATTGCACCACGGAATGCAACAGTTCCTAAAAAGTGTTTTTAGAAAGTGGGTGGGCGGGGCTAGGGGCCAGTGGAAACTTGCTTGGCTGTGCAGATGTTTTTAAAAAGCTGCTTTGCCAGCAGCTGCCAGCATGGCGCAAGGATTCCCCACTGTGTGCCTGAAGGTAAGCTGCAGCAGCCAGTTTGTGGCTGTGCCTACCAATGCTGTGTCAACACTCCAAAGGTTCCCATCCGCTCAAAAAGATTGGGTTGGCAGACGGTCTTCAATTCCAGCCAAGGCAAACCTTCTGGTCCTGACTCCGACCTCATGCCCCACTGTTCTGATCACGTCAGAGGAGGAAGAGGAGAACAAGAGTTGGTCTTTATACCTTGCTTTGCTCTACCTTAAGGAGTCTCTAAGCTTCTTACAATCTCCTTCCCTTCCACTCCCCACCACAGGCACCTTGTGAGGTAGGTGGGGCTGAGAGAGTTCTGAGACAAGTGTGACTGGCCCAAGGTCACCCAGCAGGTTTCATGAGGAGGACTGGGGAAATCAAACCCGGTTATCCAGATTAGAGTCTGCTGCTCTTACTCATGATACCGTCCTGGCTCTCAAACATGGCACCCAAGGTTGCAGACAAGTGGTTAACGTTCTGTATGTATTAAATGGATTACTCTACATGCAGGCACTGAAACAACTCAAGGGCTAATGAGTGGTTGAACTTTTGAAAGGTACACCTGACACTTTATGCATAGTCTGATTTAATCATAGCCATTGTCCAAGCAGAAGACATTCCTATATACTTTTGGCATAAACTGTACACAATCAGTTTTAAAATCAAGTAATTCAATTCACTTAAGTTTTACAAAGATGGCAACGTGACACACAAGTAAAGAATGACAGATAAGGAGTTACTACTATAAAAATGATCAGTAAAACTTGTAACAAAATAAGACAGATCATAGGAAGGAAGGAGCATTAGCATGCATTTTTTAAAACAAGCGCTAAAGTCTGGATAGCCAGTTCTTATTAATATCTAAGTAATGGAAATATACTGATGAGAATGCAAGAGTTAGTGGATTACTTGTTTCAGTGTACCACAAAGTCAGTTAATTTACAGGAGATGGCACGTACACACTTAGGAAATACAAAAACCAAATCACAAAAAACAGCAAGCGTTGTGCAAGCAACCAGACAGATTTAAAATGAAGAAAAGAACAAGACATTTGGTGCTTTTAAATCTTCTATTAGGTTTCCACTCACAATAATCAGACTTTTAAAAGAACCATGTCAAGGCTTAGGTTTTACATGTCTCCCCCCCCCCCCCCCCCAACCATTTGTTAAGTTGGTGGACTTTTCTCTTGCCAAAAATATAAATAGTTTAAATATCACCACCACACTCCGCCCCATTTTTAAAACTCTACAAAAAAAAGGATAAGAAAAAAGCAAGCAAAATATCTTTGGCATCAACTTACAAAATAGCTTTTTCCTGGACTCTATCAACCTTGACAGATTGTTTTAAAATGTTCTGTTAGTTAATTAGATTTCTGAGGGCTTAAAAAAAAATCCATCCAAGATGATAATTCCGACTGTATTTATTAAATGCTAATAGCTGTCTGTTTGCTATAGGCAGTAAAATATTCATCTGTGTGCT